AGAAGGCTGGACAGAAAAATTTTAATTTAACATTATTACAGGTAGAAATAACTGATTTTTAAAAATTGCTTGTCCCCCCCCCCCCCCCCCCCCCCTTTTTTTTTTTAAAACACCTTTTTTTTGTGGAACTACCCTTCCCCCACTTTGGAACTCTACTTCTTCTCCCCACCTAGGTTGGAGACCACCAGACTAAACCTTTGACTGTCCTTTCCTCTATACATTGAAAATTGTCCAAATCCTATGCTTACGCCTCACTGTTTCAATCTTGTGAGGTATGGATGCTGTATTCCATTGCACCGGACTAGAGAGGGATTGCAGTATCTGTATAATCTGAAACAATAGGCAAATTATGAGTTGAAGAAAAAACACAGAATAGGTGAGCTGAATGGCATGGAAAATGTCAGTAGTCGGTCAGAACAAGAAGAAAAAAACATTTATTTCATGGCAGCTGTGGAGAGACACCACATGGTATTTGGTGATATACACAGAGTAAGCGTCCTCTGCCAACAGCAGCTAACAACACATGAAAGGAATAATCTCCTGCTGTTTCCACTAGTAAATGACAATAGAGGGTAGGGAAAAAAGTATAATAAAATATTAAAGGTTGGGCAGAACCAAAATGTTATTTCACAACCTATGGCATGGTTGCCTGTAACACAATACACAAGCAAGAGAAAACACATTTTTAGAGCCCCTCTTTACTGTAGGGATGTGAATCCTGTACCAGTTTTCCGGTGTGGGTTCAGAGGGTCCTTTTTTGGCAGGAAAAAATAATAGACCCACTGCCCCCTTCCCCCTAACAAGCACTTTGGAAAAGGCAACAACTGGCATTTGCTGAAATCAGAAGTTTTAGGCCAAAAGGTGCAGTATTGCAGTCTAGTTGTAAACAACATAGCACAGTATGCCACCATCTTTTTAACTCTTTCAGTCCTAAACATCTGTTCCCGTAACTCATTCTTTCCGAAGCAGTATCTACTTAAAAGTAATAAATGCTGTATATTATAAATAAGTTTAACTAATAATTGTTGTACAGAAGTTAATGTAACAGCTAAGACAGAGTGTATCAATATAAGAACTACAGTACACATATCTTTCTTCTTTCTTTTGTCAAAATCTGCTTGTGCTGCTAGGCGTCGCAGTCTATCAGATGATCGGCAACCGAGCCAGGGCGCGCTCAGTCGCTTCATATGCCGTGATGTTATGAAGTCTCAAGTTGTCCGTGACTCCTTCAATCCATCTTCTTCTTGGTCTTCCCCTGCCTCTTGGTGTTTCGATTTTCATGTTGTATGCTCTTGATGCTGGCATCGTTGGTTCCATTCTCATTAGGTGACCAAACCATTTCATTCTTTGCTTCTCAATAAATTTAACGATGGGTATGGTTCCAATAGTTCTTGTAATCACATCGTTTCTCACTCCATCTCTTCTGGTTTTATTCGCAGCCATTCTCAAACATCTCATTTCACAGGTGGTTAGTCTTCTCTCGTGTTCTTTTGTTAATGTCCAAGTCTGACATTGATAGCCTAATGTCGGTATAAAAATTGTATTTATAATTTGTCTTTTTATCTCAGCTGGGACAGCAGGGTGTTTTAAAATTGGGGCAAGCTGGTATGCGACATTGTTGGCTTGTTGGATTCTTGCTTCGATCTCTCTATTTTACCATTGAATGTAAAGATACTTCCCAAGTATTTAAATTCTTGCACTTGTTTTAGGCTGTGATCTAGAATCTTTATGTCAATGGTCTGTTGCTCTCTACTTATGCTCATGACAGTACACATATGGGGTTAACAATAAACGCATAGAACATTGTTTGGAATTGAAAGAATTGAAGATAAACTAAAAAGAAGAATATTTACCATTTCACAATCAGCATATAGGAAAATCAAGAATTTTGAACTTAATTGTTTGCAAATATATTTTATAATGCAGATTGGGATTTGCAGAATCTGAACATCAAAGAAATTTGGCTTCTCAACAGCTTGTGGGTCGAAGTACTTTCTTATAAATATTAGCAGCTTACGAAAAAAAAAGTACATTGAAAGGCATGCTTTCTAGAAGAAAAGGTAGTTTTTACTATCATGAAGGTGGACATATGATATTAAAGACAACTTGAGGCTGGCAATACATGGGACACAAGGACTTGGGAAGGATCAATTGTCTTTCGTGAAGGTAGTGATTTTCTCCGAAGGGCCTGCTGCCTGATAATGGTGAAGATGGGACAGATTTAGTTATTAAATATTTGTTAAATAGGCAGTATCATGAACATAGCAAGTCTGAAGATTATTTTATGTAATAAATCCATGTGAATGGAGGTTAGGAAAATGATTCTCGCATGCTATGTAGAGCCAATTTAACATGTAGCTGTGAATCCTGGAAAGCTAATAAATAAGCCAAACAATTTCTTGAAGCCTAGGAGGTGTAATTTTACAGAAGAATCCGTAGAATTCCTTGGACAGCCAGACACACAAAAAATGTATCGCAGATATTCTGAAAGAGGTTCTAGGGCTTGAAGACTTCTTCTTCTCTTGTGTCGGGGGAGATGTAATGTTCGTTAATGGGCTCTGTCAAGAGCACTATTAAGACTGATGTTCAGTTCTGTAAGGCTGTTCTTAATGCCATCACTCCATATTTTCCGAGGTCTTCCACTCGCTCTATACCCTTTGTAATGTTTTAGTGTGGCTCGCTGTGGCAGATAGTACCAGGGCATTCTTGTTAGGTGTCCAAACCACTTAATTTGTTGTTCTCTAATGACCTGTAAGACTGGCTTTATTCCTAGCATTCGTCTGATTTCATGATTTCGTATTCTGTCTTTCCTTGAAACTCCTGCAGCTCTTCTAAGGCATTTCATCTCTGTTGTCACAATTTTATGTTCATTGGAGGATGTAAGTGTTCACGTTTGGTATTGATAGCATAGTGTTGGCCAAAAAATAGCTTGAAGATAACATCACAAAACATCAGAGATGATCTTCATGTTTTGGGCATGTAAAGGTACACGTAAAGTGGGGAGATGTGAACCAGCGTCATTGCACACGGTTATAAACCATAAGTGCTCTGCCACCAGTACGGACAGCTGATAAGAATTGTCCGCCTGTGTCGCCGTTCGCACGTAACTCTGTAGCTACAGTGACGTTCCTCCATTTACCACAGAGTATCACTCTGGTACCCATTTCCTAGAGGCTGGGTGAACCCTGGGAACACCGAACGTGGGCTGCGGCGAGTCTCAGCTGGATTAGAAAGTAAGCGCTTCTTATCGACTGCGCTAACGCTGCCCTCCGTTTTGGGCATATTATGAGGAGGAGACTGGAACATATTGTGACCACTGGAAAGATCTGTGGAGAGAGACAGATGACATGAAAATATTCTTGACAACCTTTTATCATGGTATGGAATACAGTAGCGGCTATGTTAAACCTTTATATGTTGTTCAGGAGGCCCAGGTTTGACCCTGAGTAAGGGATGATGAATTTTTTCTTTAGGGAAAAAAAACAACCCATCCTAACCTTCACAGTTCTTGGCCTAACCTTTGCTGTTCTTGGCTACTTCATGATCATACATCCTGATGCTCACAGACCCCCTCTTTTACACCAGCCTAATCAGTTGTCAGTGGAAGCAGTCAAGACAGTTTTCTAAACTTTTTCAGTCTGACAGTTGTTATTTTAACCCCTTTCTGTTTCCTGTAGTTGAGCCTAAAAGTAGTTCATAATTAGGAATAAAGGAGTTTACCAAAGACGTTATAGGGCAGAAGTAATAAAATTGAAATTTTGGATACAAAGAGTTAATATAACATCTGTCTATGATGTAAGAATGACAGCAAGCACATAATTTTTTTTTTGAATGACGTGGAAATGTGTCAGGAAAGAGTTAAAATGAAGCAATGGCGTTTTAAAAATTCCATGAAAGTTTTATAATAGTATATTTAATCAACATCTGACACTTTGCCAGGAAAGCATTATGTAGGTTAAGATTTTAAGTGTTACATGTTTAAAATGTGCACTCAGAATAAAAACAACAGCATTGTATTTCAAAACAGATGTCAGCATGTAATAATAAATCAGAAGTTTGAAATGAAAGGAGGTGATAACAGAATAAAGCTCACAAATGGTTTGCCATGTTACAGACTCATGCACACACACACATGCACGCACACATACATACACACACCACACACACACACACATACAAACAGGGCAGTGTGGTTAAGCTGTTTGTCTCATGCCTTGAAGGTTGCGAGTTTAGTTTTGAACTCTGTTCTATTGTTCATGATTGATGTCTCGGGTATCTCTGGGGATCACTTTGGAAGTTCTGGGACTCCATTTTGAGGAACAAACATTAGACCCACTGCCCCTTTAACAAGCATGTTTTTGGTAGCAATTTATCAGGAGTGTCTCCTTCAGAATGTATCTGATTTGTAAAATGGATGTGCACGCAGCACTCAGACCAAAGTCTAGGAGTGGGTGAACAATCAGAACTTAGCACTGGAGTTGACAGCCAGTGAATGCTAAAAAGAAGGTATCGATATATACAGAGTTGCTGTTTGTGACACACTTGGAGGGCAGACAGTTACTTTGTGGTGGAAAGACGGAGCCATAGGAAATTTAACTCAGTGAATTAAATTATTAATATATACTGCAGTCCCTTAGAAATAAAATTAAAATTCCTCGGTCTGTTGACCAAAAAACTGTTTTGAGATGTTAATATATTCTTTCATATTGAGAGTTTGATTTTTGAAGGTGAAAATTGTTGCAACTTTCCATCTTTACAGACAGTAGTGATGTACTGTGTTATAGGAATACATTTACCATGAACGTTTGTGTGTGTAGAATTAGGAAGTATGCAGAAAGTTTTCCTAACGTTGTAACTGAATTTTATGAAAACCCCTTGGCTCTCCTCCTCTTATTTAAACAAAAGATGTGGGTTAGCAAATCAGATCTGTTTCTGCTGAGTTTAGAATGCAAAACATATCCATGACCGAAAAATGAGAGCATTTGCTTTTCTGCTTACAGATCAAGATTTCAACTTTATCTTTGACCAACAGCCATTGGGAAGACGACTTTTTATAGAGTTTTGTAACACTGTAGAACTGTACAGAAGGTCCATCGGGTTCCTCAACGCAGTGGTGAGCACATATTAGGTTTACAGTTTTGTGTGTGTCTGTCCATGGGCGAACTAGAGGTAAGTGCATTGGTTATTTTTGGGTCCTTGCTTAATTCTTTCCTTCTCTGGAAATTGCTTCTTTATCTGTCTGTCTGTCTGTCTTGATTCCTCTTCTGTATTTTCCGGCTGTAAACTCCAGCAAACTGTCCTAGTTTTTTTGGGTCCATATCTGGACTTTGATGTTGTTCTGGACTCAAGTGTATCCACATCCATTTTACAGATCTGGCTTATTGTGTGCAGACAGTTGGTTCCTTGCTTCTCAGGTGAGAATAAGAATGAATCCAATGATGCCAGCAATGAGAGTGTAGTTCAGCCTAGAAGTAAACACCTTGAGGTAGGGGACGGTCAAGAAGATGGATTGAAGGAGACTGAGACCTTGAGACTCCACAACATCACAGCATAGTTACTCTTCAGACCACATTTTATCTGGGGTTTTGGACGGCATTAATTTTGAGCATTTTTTTTTTTGCTGCAACACGACAAATCTAAAACCTTCCTGAAGAAAAATTATTGGTTGTATCGGGACATATAATTTATCAAATTAAAGATAAATGAGTGCAGAATAAATCTAAACTATTTAAATGTCATGTCCTGGGGAAGTAGAGACAGCCGGCGTAATGCTGACCACATTACCCACCTGGTGCCAATGGTCTGAAAAAATATGGATGCTCTTCCTATATACCCGATGCGCCTTAAGGCGTGAAAAGGGATCTTTACTTTTTTTTAATTACTTTTACTTAAATGTAAGTACAACAACAAAATATTATTAAAATCACAACATTCAAGTATGTTAGACACATATGAAAATTATTGACATAAAAAAAATTGTGCTCACCTTATTTTTTACTAGTTCAACAACTCTGCTATCCAGTTGAACATCACAAATAAAAGGATTCCTGTTGTTAATCCTAATTGTTTAAAAACTTGTTCATAAAATTTCATTTTCCCTACAAATGGAAGAAAATTAGAGTCTGTCATGATCCAGTATACTGGCGATTCGTCTTTAAGGGATAGACTTAATTTCCAGTATACTGGCTAAACGTCCGTAAAGAGTTTAGCAACCAAGAGTGCCCTAGCTTGGAAACTGATCATCTGGACACTGATCATCTGTTAACCTGTGATGCATGACGGTACAAAGCAGAATATGGATGAAAAAAGAAAGCCTTTATCTCTTCCGTAGTGCAACCCTGAAACTATGCTCTAGCATGGTCGTTTTTGTTTTTTTGTTAAAAGAAAAATTAAAAATACAACAAAAGTTACACATCATTGTTTAATGACTTTCAATTAGGTATCATAATTTATTTGTATTGTTTTATATGTTAAAAGTTAGCTGCGTATCCTTTAGAGGATATGGCAGAACCAGCGGCAGCATTTTTCTGCTGTGGTGGTTTTTCTAGGCAAATTTTACGTTCAGGAGTTTGTTATTGCTTTCTGAGTGGTACCACTGTCAAATCATTGCAAGACGCTCTTCTTCCAAATCGCCTGCAGCTGAGATCAAACCTGGCACTCCAGCATTATGAAATGCATTCCCAACGCCTAAGCCACAGACACCAACTTTTTGATAAGTTTTTTGATAATGTACTAGTGTAATAATTGTTTCATAAAAGAAAATGCTTTAATATTTCAACAGGCAGAGTATGAAATCATATCTGAGGAAAAGAGACACGCAAAAGCAGAGGAAATAGTTGAAACTTACCTTAATCCAGAAGTGAGTATACAATTGTTTGTTGAGATCACTATATTTGCTGCAGAATATTTTACAAATTGACATTTTAGTCACCTAATCAGAATACAACACAAAAGTAAATAGGGCTGGTATGAAACAAGTCAGTGTGTTCAAGTATTTCTTCACCTTAATATTAGTGTATGGAAATTAGTGTATAATTAGAGATATTCAGTAATGAACAACAATGGCTTTAGCAATGCAGAGGCTAAACAGCATGAAATCCTTTAGCACAGAACCTGTAAGCGAGTAATATTTTTGAGGTCATGCATCTTTCCCAACTTATGGATGTGTCATTGATTCTTACTCGGTCTTTGAAGAAGAAATCTGAGCTTTTGAGCTGAAATCCTACAGAAAAATTGTTATAATACTGGGGATTAAGAAGAATAAAAACCAACAGCCTACGCCGACTTACATGATGTTATGTACATCAAGGAAAATTGGCTTATAAACAGTATCCTGTCCCAAAAGCTGAGGTATTTTAAACATGTTAAGCATCATGGTGGTCTGGAGAGAATGGTGACGGAGGGTGCAGTTTCCAGACAATGAGGCAGAGGCCAATCTTTGCAGATGGGGGAATCAAGACCTTGAAGATGAATTGACTGTGACAGCACATGGAGCTGGAGAATTGGTCAGAGGCAGAGAGAACTTGCATTCATGCCCTGAAGGAAGTGACATTCTATAAATCACCTGCTGATTGGTGATGACAATGTTGGTTATTTATGTGGAATGTAAAATAGCTAAAGCCGCACGTCACAGAATAAGGAATATTCTGTGTAGTATATTTTTATCAGCCCCTTGAATCAGGGCCCTTGCACCCACACAGAGACATTCATCTCTGTGATTGGCCTTCCTTTTTTTTTTTCACTTTATTACTCTGTGTTTGTAAGTGTGCCTGTATATTACCTCTCCTCCATCTTTGTCCACTCATCTCTCTCTCCCTCCCTCTTTCTCTCTCTCTCTCTCTCTCTCTCTCTCTCTCTCTCTCTCTCTCTCTCTCTCTCTCTCTCTCTCTCTCTCTCATTTAAAGGAATAAAAAAATGTTTTTTTTTTCATTTGACAGTCTGAAAACTACATTAGACATGTCAACGGGAACCACATCTCAGAGATTAAAGATATTATGAGCCAGAAAAAGTCCTGCAAGGCACTGTTTGATAATTGCTCCAAGTAAGTGACCCTTGTGTGGCAATGGGATGTGTTCACCCGCCACTGCCACTGAGCACTTACGCTAATTGACACCGGATACCTCTTAGATTGAGGTGGTGGAGCAGCAAATGTTGCACGCTAATTGACACCAGAAACATGGATATGCAGAAGAATATTTCATATAATGAAGAATATTGGCATAGCAATGTTCTGTATCATAAACTAGATTGTGTACTTAATGGTGGTGGAGCTTATAGGCTAGATATGTTGCATGCTGGAGTCCCTGAGGACATGGATGTACAGAAGAATGGAAACAGAAGAAACATATACATATACAGAAGAATAGAAACATGAATATATCATATCTTTTGGAAACAAACACATGGATATACAGAAGAATAGGTCATATACAGAAGAATAGGTCATATCTTTTGGAAACAGAAACATGGATATACAGAAGAATAGGTCATATCTTTTGGAAACAGAAACATGGATATACAGAAGAATATCTTGGAAACAGAAACATGAATATACAGAAGAATAGGTCCTTTTGGAAACAGAAACATGGATATACAGAAGAATATCTTACATATTTTGGAAACAGAAACGTGGATATACAGAAGAATATTTCATATATCTTGAAAACAGAAACATGGATATACAGAAGAATAGGTCATATCTTTTGGAAACAGAAACGTGGATATACAAAAGAATATTTCATATATCTTGGAAACAGAAACATGGATATATATGTACAGAAGAATATCTTTTGAAAAAGTCCAATCTTTTTGAAAACAGAAACACGAAGAATAGGTCATATATATACATATATCATATATCTTGAATAATGTCCAGAAGATCTATCTTTTGGAAACAGAAACGTGGACATACAAAAGAATATTTCATATATCTTGGAAACAGAAACATGGATATACAGAAGAATAAGTCCAATCTTTTGGAAACAGAAACGTGGATATACAGAAGAATATGTCATATATCTTGGAAACAGAGACATGAATACACAGAAGAATAGGTTGTATCTTGTGGAAACTGAACCATGAACCGTGGAAAAATAAACCACCACAATCAGAAGAAGAGGTCTGTCTTTTTGGAAACAGAAAACAGAACAAATATATCATATATCTTGAAAACAGATTTATTCTACATATATCTTGAAAACAGAAACATATAAAAAAAAGTGGGTCATATCATTTTGTTTGTTTGTTGGAAAGACTAACCATTAACTACAGTTGTATTCTCTGTGATAAGTGTATGAAAAAGTATTTATAGTTGAGGTTAATTTGTTAGTTAGTTGGGTTAGCATCGTTGCACTCCAGACATGTCCATAGTTGGCTCAGATCCTCACCTCAGTATGAACCCTGGCGTCCGGTAGCTAATAGTACCAGTTCTGTGTTAACAAGTCCTCTGATATGCCTGGTGTGCGTCTCATTCGCCATGCCGATCTTAACTCAAATTCTATCATTCTGGTGAGTGATGTGGATTCACCGTCTCCAAAGTCCTCCACCCTTCCCATTTCTTGGAGGGCATTAATATCAACATGATCAATAGGTTGACGGTCAGTAGTGATAGCGGATCCAGCCAACCTATCAGCTCTTTCATTTCCACCCGCATGACCCAGAACAAAAATAAAAATGACTTCATGCACAGTTGGTTAGTTGCGTATCCTTTACAGGATGTTGCAAAACCAGCCCCACCATTTTGTGACTGTGGTGGTTTTTTTTCTAGTCACATTTACATCCAGTAGTTTGCCACTGCTTTCTGGACTTGGTTTCTCAAAACCAGTGTTGAAACCAGCGCAAGGTGCAAGGCCCGCAGCTGGGATCGAACCCGGCACCCCAGGTGCTTATGTTACTGCCATCACCTCCATCGTCATTCTGCTGGTTGTCATGGAGAAGACACGTCTTCTTTGGCTGTTCTGCCCTTTGAATGTGCTGTAAATTTCCATACACTTCTTTTTTTTGGGGGGGGGGGGGGGGGGGGGGGTGTTATCTGTGTAGATCAGTACATCTGGCTCATCTGAATTTTCACAGATGAGAGCGTTGACCTCTGTATTGACAGCAGCATGCTTCTGCTCCCTGCATCGCCACTTGAGTGTGGCAAAACAGAAAAATTTACAAATCAACGCTTGAGGCACGGGTATCCACTCTGCACCAGGGATGATATCGGTTAGGATGCGTATTACTTGATAACATCTTTTGCCCAGCCTAGCCATGGTTTCCCCCTCTTCAGCCTGTTGCCCTTTTTCACTGAAAAGCAGTTGATGAGTGAAATGATTGCAATGAAAAATGAAGTTAAAATGAGGGCAGTTTTTCATGGTGGAAATCACATTGGCCATTATATAGGAGGTTTGAGGTTTGAACAACGGATCAACATCGTAGCACATGGGTAGTTACCAATTAGTGCTCTGTTTTACTTCTAACTCGACTTTTAAGTCCGAAGTAGCTCAGCGCAGTGCACGGGCTCCTCAGCACCAGCGAGGATCCTGAAATATTTTGAGTAGATTGTTAACTTCAGATTTTGCCCAGGCAGCGCCATTAGGCTACTCTTTTCGATTTCCAACTGCCAAGGGATTTTTTTTATGTGCGCACCAATACACAGGGGCGTCCTATCTCACCACCCAGGGAAAACTACTAGATGTCCACGTGAAAAAATAAATCCCAGCCTTCACCGGGGCCTGAACCCTGGGACCTCTGGCACTCCAGACGGACACCATACCTCGAGACCACGCAGCCCCAGGCTCTTTATATATGATTTGGGGTAGACAGTTCCCTTTCCAGTACGACAGTTTCCAGAAAAGTGATAAATATATTTTTGATAAGACTGTGCCATCCCTATCAGTCAGAAAATATCCTGCTAGGGGTATACTTGAGGTGCTTTTCAAACAACAAATTTTACTGATTTAAATTTTAGAGGACTTATACAATTACGGCTTGTATCTACCATTTTGTAGAGCTGGTGGTTAGAGAAGGTCTAAGGCAGGGCTATTTAGCTGGCAGGCAGCCCACGGGCCAAGCAGAGGGCTAGAAAGTGGGCAGCAGATCCCCTGACAATTGTGTTGTATTTATGATCTTGTTATGCTGGGGTTCGGGCTCAGTGGCCTGTGATGATCCTTACTTTCCAGCATTTTGACCCCTGGGTAGACTTAGAGTAGCTCTGGTATAAGGTGTAAAAAAAAAAAAATTGTTGTAAATAAACCATATAAGTAACCAAACAGTTATTAGTATTTAGCTGCATTTTTGTCTTTTGAAATATTAATGCTGTTTTCTCTGTTTCTGTCAGAATGGTTAGGGAATATTTAAGCAAAGAGCCATTTTCTGATTTTTTGGAGAGCATGTATTTCCAGCGGTTCATGCAGTGGAAGTGGTTGGAGGCGTAAGTTTTTGTATACTTTTTAATTTATCTATTATATTTGGTTAGCATTATAATTCACTCTAATTATTTGGAGAGAAAAAAAATATGTGTAAGAGTGGGAGAAGATAAGGATTTTATATTATTTGATGTAATTCTTTTACTTTCCGCTGTCGGAGCCAGGTTAGGAGAACTTGTTTACATAAAACCTTTTTTTTATGAGGTTGTATATGTTAAGGTATGATAGATATCACTCCATATTGGGCATTTCCATGCATGCTTAGTCATCTGATGCAATGGCCATCCCAATGTACTTCTGCTGACTGTTCCCAAATTAGATTCATCTGCTTCCCCCTAACTCTGCCACCCTGAGAAGGTTTTTCCGACCTATAGTTTGTTGTTGTTTTTAATGACATGAAGTCTGTGGGCAGTGACACTACACCTCTAGCACAGCTTAGCACTGGTTGTAACTGTGTGGGTTCTGGGGCCCTGTTATAGAGAAAACAAAAATAGACCCTCTGCCTACTCAAGCATGTCATGAGAGTCGACTAATTGGGAGTTTCCTTTGAAGTCGGAGTGCATCTGCCTGAGAGGCAAAGAACCAACAGTGCATACAAATTAGATCTGTCAAACAGATACACACGTAACACTCAGGTTCTGGAACAGGACTGCAGTCCAGAAGTGGACGAACAACCAGAGCATTCCGCCGGAGTTTACAGCTGGTGAACACGAATAAGTAGAAGAGAGTAACTGCATAGTCTGTAGACATGGTGGTGATGATTGTATTTCCCACAGTTTAGAGTCAGGCTGTGATATCTAAACCTTTCAGCCCAGCATGTCTGATTTCAGCAAATGCCTAATAAGTCACTTTCTATAACATGTCTGTTCAGGGTTCTCCCCCACCCTTCCTGTTAAGTCAGCCAGCACGTAACCCTCTAGCCACTTCGTTAGTTCAGCTTCTCATTTATTCTTTAGTCTTCTTCTTCGCATTCGCGTTCACCAGCTGTAAACTCTGGTGGAAAGTTCTGGTTGTTCATCCACTTCTTGACTGCAGTCCTGTTTCAGTACCTGGGTGTTGCGTGTGCATCCATTTTACAGATCTGACTCATTTGTGTGCAAACTGTTGGTTCCTTGCCTCTCAGGCAGATGCACTCAAGACTTTGAAGGAAGCTCCCAGTTAGTCGACTTTTACGACATGCTTTTGGGTAGGCAGTGGGCCTATTCTTGTTTTCCCTATAATAGGGTCCCGGAACCCACATATGGATACTCTTTAGTAACTTTAAATTAGATATGGTACTCTGATTATTGTTTACTGTACAGAGTTCTAAATCAGTGTTATAACTGCTGTATCTCATTTATTATTTGGTCAGGTAGTTTATGTCAAATATGTGTTTGTTTTATCCCTTCTTATTGTTTATTTAGTTGTGTCAATTTTATTGTTGCTCTTTTTATTACAGTCAACCAGTCACCAAAAATACATTTAGAATGTATCGGGTACTTGGTAAGGGAGGATTTGGTGAAGTGTGTGCGTGTCAAGTGCGTGCCACAGGCAAGATGTATGCCTGCAAGAAATTAGAGAAGAAACGGATAAAGAAACGAAAGGGCGAAGCTATGGCACTGAATGAAAAACAGATTCTTCAGAAGTTAAACTCCAGATTTGTAGTAAGTCATACATTTTGGTTGTTGTCATTTGATAGACGTTATCTGTTCTTTGGGATGCAGAGATGCAACATGACCAGGGCACAAGCTGGTCAGGAGCTATCCTACTCTTCTCTACGGCCATCCTGTACACAGATTCCATACCGGGAGCCTGGCCAACATAGATAGGATCAGTGCTTTTTTTTACAGTCGGGTTCATCTGCCTGAGAGGCTAGGAACCAACAGTCTGCATACAGATAAACCAGATTTCTTAAACTGATGTGCATGGAACACTTGGGTCCTTAAACAGGGCGAATCAGAAGAGGACAGACAACCAGCACTTTACAGCCCTTGTTTGCTAAGAAGAAGAGAAACATTTCATTGTACAGTTCAAGGTTGCCATTCATAAATTAGAAAATATGTCAGAAGAAAAGTTTTATAAATTTTTTTTCACATTGCTGAAATCCCGGTTCCCCTTTATGGGGAAAACGGGAATTGACCCACTCCTCCCCCCACAAGCATGTCATAAGAGTTGACTAATTGGGGCTTCATTCAAAATCAGAGTGCATCTGCCTGATAGACTAGGAACCAACAGTCTGCTTACAAACAAGCCAGATCTTTAAAACAGATGTTGATGTAACACTCAGATTCTGGAACAAAATTTAAGTCCAGTGGTGATACACAGCCATAAATTTCCCCTGGAGTTTACAGCCGGTGAATGCAGAGAAGAAGAAGAAGATTACAGGAATAGCAAACTTTTGGACTGTTTTTTTTTTTTTTTCACCATTAATGAGAATGTTATATTGACAAAAACTTTACAAATATTGTGTTTTTCACATCATTACTAGTAGGTCTGTTATTGGCATTCTTGTGTGCTTTACTACTATATAGATTAAACATTTTAGCAGTGTCATAGAGGTGAGAATCGGTGGCAATACAATTGTTTACTTTTGCACATTATGAGACGATCCGTTGCCTTTCTCACTCTTTCAATTCTAGATTTATCTGTGGGTATGCATTAAACAAAGCTTAGTTACAATATTATAGGTGTACAAGGATTCCTGTTGTATTTTGTTCACGCTTCTTCAGTTTTACATTAGCATTGCTGGTTGTGACAGTTACTCCCACCTTTGTTTACCTTATTTGATTATGAATATTAATAGTTTCTATTGCTGTTTATAGTGCATCTTTGTGTTCTGTCCTATTGCAAAAAAATGAATGGACGTTGTTTGAAGAAAGAGATCCTCACACACAATGTCACATCTGTAAGTGGAGGTGGAGATTTTTGATAACTGACGTGCTCACAGAACATGCTTTGGAATGTAGTTGTGTGTCCTATGAGTAGAGCAGCTTGTCTCACTTGATAACACTGAGATCAGAAATATAACATCAATTATCTATATAGCATATTCTGTTTGCCAGGTAAGGAACAAGCTGATAGAGTGGCTGTGAGCTACTTTAAGTAAAGAAGATGTAATGAAATCTATGTGGTATCAAGTGAACATTGCAACAGAACAGACAGCATCCACACCTTGAAAGACTAATTAATTAGCATTGAGTGAGGAGAAGATCTTGATGGTTTTTAACACACAGAGGAAAGGACAGCCAGCCTTTAATCAGGCTGCAGCAGGAAAACTTGTTGGCTAGTGAAATGACAGAGCTTGTGTGGGAATGCCCTGAGTGCAAAGTCGTCTGTTTTTGATTCATTCAGTCTTTTTTTTTATAGGTTCTTCTTTCTATTCTGCATTCATCATTTTTTTTTCTAAATCCCTTTAACTTACAGTTAGCATTAACTAGATTATTTGTTCTTATCTGAACGTTTTAATGCCATATTCTTGTATGTGTTTCAGGTAAATCTAGCCTATGCATTTGAGACAAAAGATGCTCTCTGCTTGGTTCTAACGATAATGAATGGAGGAGATCTCAAATTCCACATCCACAACATGGGAAACCCTGGCTTTCCAGAGCAACGGGCAGTGTTCTATGCAGCTGAAATTACATGTGGTTTGAATGATTTACACAAGGAAAGAATAGTTTACAGGTATAGTGTAATTTTGGTAATTTAGTAATTTTTAGTAATCATCATCTTCATCATGATCTTATACGGGGACTCACAGCCTAGTCTTCAGTGCTGCTGCTGCTGTTCTTTGTGTCATTTTAGTATTGTGGATGGAATCCAGTCCAGCAACTTTGGCTTCTCTCAGCATTGTTTATTTTATTTTTTATTGGACATTCTTGTTTCTTAAAACCATCTGTTGGTTGTTTCAGGTTTTTAATGTCAGCATTATCATAATGTAGCAGATCCTTTGCAGATTATTGCTGCCTTCACCATTTGCCAGCAAAACTGCCTGGCCGTTATAGGTTCTCCTGCTTCATGTACTTGTGAACTGTTTTTCCTACAACTGAGGCTCTGGCATTGATCAGGGGGGTATGAGACCATAGGGACATCTCTGATACTCAAGTTAATTTAGAGGACTGTCATTGTTTACATTGCCAAATGCACTTTAACGTTTTCTGTCCCAGAAAGGGGAGTAGCAGATGCTGAAAAAGGAAAATAAAAACAGTGACAAACTGGTAGCTCATGATTTTTTTAAAGGCTTCGTAATAAGCAGTATGGAAGCTAGCTTTCGTAGACTTGTATACACTATAAGGTGATTTGGGGGGTGGGGGGGGGGGGGACACATTATTATCCCAAGTAGAATTATCATAGCATTAAAAATCATCACAATCAAGTGTCAAAATTTTGAAGGCATACATCTTACCTGTAACAACATATGGATGCGAGTTGTGGAATAGGGAAGAAAAGACAGGCTTCAAACTGAAATGCCATAGAACAATTCTCAAAATACCATGGACCAAGAAGAAATAAGATCTGAACATCAAGGAAGATTACCTAGTAAACAACATCTTACAAACACCATGGCAGATTAGACAGTTGTAGCAGGGGGCATGGTAAAAGGAAAGAGTGGCAGAGGTCGACCAGCAGGTAGCTGGTCACAGGATGTGGGGGATGCCTTAGGTGGTGAGGTGCATGAGCTGGTGAGAGACGGTTTTTTTCAGGCGGGCTGTGAGGATAGTGATGTTTGGTAAAGGACCTGCTACATGATGATGAGGTGAATTGAGCATTTATGACTATCTCTGTATTTACAGGGGGCTGGGTGGTCTCGATACATGGTGCCCGCCTAGAGTGATTGAGGTTCCAGGTACAATCGCCGGTAAGGACTGGGATTTTTTTACGTGGACAGACTTCTACTAATTCCCCCCGGTCTCAGTGAAGTGAGATCAAACGCTTATTTGCATTGTTGGAAATCTAAAAGAGTAGCCTAACGGCCCTGACTGGGCAAAAATTTGGAGTTAAAAATCTACTCAAAGTTTTTCAGAATCCTTGCCGGTGCTACAGAGCCTGTGCACTGCTAAGCTTCTTTGGACTCGAGACTTGAGAGAAGAACAGAGAACTTATGGGTTACTAACCTTGTGCCCTGATATTGATCCGTTCAAACCTTAAACCTCTGTGCATTTACAGACAGCTCCGGGCCCTATCTGACTTTAAAAGGTCAAGTGTGCTAGCCACTCCATTGACATGAGTCTGTTATTCTCTAGCCAGAATGTAAAGTACAAGAGCACAAATGTAATGTTTGGGATTCATGGAGAAGCAAGTCCAATTGCACATTGCTAGAAATTGAAAGAGATGAACCTGCTTGGTAGAGGAGAATGGTTTTCATCTGCTGTTTATTTTATTTCAGAGATTTGAAACCAGAAAATATATTACTGGATGACAATGGTAAGTACCACCTTAATCTCTATAGCCACACGTATCTATAGTGAGCATTACAAAGATATTGCAGCAGTTATTTCTATAAGAGTGGAAAGTAATAATCATTGCACTGATTTTAAATTCTGATATATTGTGAAACAGTTGATATGACATTAAGTATACAACCCACAATTTATAATTATTATATGTTGGTAGTGAAAACATATGGAAAGGTTAATAATTCAAAACACACAAATAAATAGACAACCGCCCCATGTTTTACCTTCAGCAAGCATATCATAAAAGAGGACTAATTAGGGATGATACCTTCAGAGTCTGAATGCATCTGCCTGAGAGGTGAGAAGCAAAGAGCCTACAAATAAGCCAGGTCTACATCCTGCATACAAGTAAGCCAGACTATAGTAGCCTGCATACAAGTAAGCCAGATCTACATCCTGCATGCAAGTAAGCCAGATCTATTGCCTGCATACGAGTAGGCCAGATCTATAGCCTGCATATATACACATATATACATATATATACGAATATATATACGAATATATATATATACATATATATATATATATATATATATATATATATATATATATATATATATATATATATATAAATAATATAGATCTTTAACCTGCATACAAATAAGGCATATCTTCATCCTGCAAACAAATAAGCCATATCTTCATCCTGCATACAAATAAGCCAGATCTACATCCTGCATACCAATAAGCCAGATGTATTATACAGATATGAGCAGAAAACTCAAGTTCTGGAACAAGACCAAAGTCCATAAATGAATGAACAGCCAGAACTTTCTACCAAGTTTATAGCTGGTGAACATTAGGAAGAAGTGGATGAACAATCAGAACTTTCCACTAGAGTTTACAGCCAGTGAATGCTAAGAAGAAGTATGCTAACAAACAAAACTTTCTGTCAAGAGTTTGCAGTCAGTGAATAAGATGACGAAGAAGTTGATTAACAACCATAACTTTTATCCAGAGTTTACATCCAGTCAGCGTTAAGGGAGAATAAAGAAAGAAGTTACAAAATTGCAGCTGGTGGCTGTTTGTAGTGTTGAATTTGCTACAGCATTATGGGTTTGTCCTCATTGCTTATAAATGTTAACATTTTTATAATTTGTACTTTGTAATGCAAACAATTATGTGAATGTGTTCGCTACCTAAGATGTTTTATTCTGTTTAGGACATGTAAGAATCTCAGATTTGGGGCTTGCTGTGGAAATACCTGAGGGAGAATCAATACGAGGCCGTGTAGGCACTGTAGGCTACATGGGTAAGAGAACTTTTATCAGGAGATTTTTCAGATTACTGATTAAAGAATTGACATCATTGCACACTGGGCAAACCCATAGATGCTTCGTCTCCCGCAGCAAGTGTTTTAAGTTGTAGATGCTAACTATTCCCACAGCACACGAAAACATATGTCATTCTTTTCCTCTCATACATCCCTCCTTGCCGGATCCACTCCCAGTTCCAATTTCACACACTCTTACGCATATTATTTCATGTTTGTTTGTTTTAGTATCAAGAAGCCATGAGTTGTTAACCCTAAGCTCTGTATTATGGATATCGCAACCTTTCGGCCTTGATTCCATTGTAAATACTGTAAATCTGGGAGAAATGTGGCTTTTCTGCCTACCCCGGAAGTGAACCCGGACCACAAAGAATTCGTCACCCGGTCACCGCGCTATCCGGTTTAGTCCAACTACACTAGAGAGCCGGGCATTATTTCATGTAATCTTGTGTCTTACTTCAACATTTGTTGATGTATAGTCTTCAGAATATCTCCCTGTCCAGTACGAGTGTTTCTGTAGCTATTGCTTTTGTAGCAGAAAATCCAACCTTTCATTCCCTGGAACTCCTGCATGTCCTAGACAGTATATCCACATGATGACGTGACAGTTTAGTCAGTGAGTACCGAAGTTTACATACTTCTTTTTTGAAAACTTCACTGTGATCAGTCATTTCCCTTTTCGCCCAATAAGCCAAAATGTTGTAATCGCCACTTGTGTCATGTCCCCATAAACACCGATATATGGCTGTGTTCTCAAAAAAGCTTACTGAATTCTATTGGAAGTGCGCAGTATTCAATAGGCCAGGATACGAATGTAGTAATTGGAAACGTTCTGGAACGGTGGGTCTTTTGAGCCAAGTGGCTTTTTTGATTCACTATATTTCTTTGGTGCATGTCAGAAGTGGGGTGGCCATCTTTGACTGTCATTATGACATCACCATATTCGTCTGCACCATGATGTCTTGTGCTTTTGACACGCTTGACACCCTTAACAACAATATTGACAGGTTAGAAGACGGTGGCATTGTTATTGTAATTTCTATCGCAATTATAAGGTTTTCACCTGAAGTCCCCTTATATTATCATATTCCCCCCCCCCCCCCCCCCCCCCCCATTTTGCTTCTATGAAGTGGGGTCACGACTCGAATAAAGGTTGGAAACTGCTGGCAAAACGGGGCGGAACCATGCATTAATTCAGCACAAGATATGCGGCCTAGGCTTGTAATGTTTCCTGTACAGCTTTGTTTTTCATTGTCCTTATGGATTTCCTGGTTGACCCAACCAGAATTGGGTATCGGCAAATGTCTTGGGAAGTAAAGGCAGCCCATATGATGTTAATCACATTGCTCATCAAATCCCAGATGGTCTATAAAATTGTGCTACATTTATACTTAATTTGCGAACTGCATAAAAAGAATCCTTAACTTCACATTGCCCAAATGACATTTCTCAAGTTAACACACATGTACAGTTTCTTATGCAACAAATTTCCTGTTTGATTAGTAGTATATTTTGTATTTTGCTTTGGTGTTTAATTGTACTTGTGATGTATTTTATTTTGGTCTTTAGCCCCTGAAGTTGTGAAAAATGAAAGATATACATACAGTCCTGACTGGTGGGGTCTAGGATGTATAATATATGAAATGATCGAAGGCAGGGTAAGATTTACTGTGTTTGTTATTTCTCTTATTGTCTGTAATCATTTTTGTTTTTACATTCATTTTTTTTTTAAATTTTCCTTTTCACAAAGAATAGACAAGTGAAATATGATGGTCATTTAAAAGACATAACCCTCTGAAAAAAAAACCTACTAGAAGTAAATGCAGAGTATAGACTAGCAAGAAGCGAGAGAGTGATACAAATGGGAGGGTGACATCAAGAGATGGACAAGCAGCAGGCTAAGTACACATTCAGTGATAAAGAGTGAGAGTATTGAAGACACAGTGCAGCTAACCTTCATTGTGGAGAGAGCAGGCTTTGATTAATTGATTATCACATTCTCCTATTGTCTTCTTCACTTTTACCGGGTTGCAGCCCAGTGTCGTGGTTTAAAATATTTGTTTTGTGCCTCTCGCGTAATTTGAGTGACAGTTTTCTGGATCTTCTGGCCGTATTCAGCTACTCCATCTATCTATTTTTTCCTGGGTCTTCCTCTGGCCTTTCTTCCTGATGTTCTACTGTAAAAGGCCTTATAGGCAATCTGATCCGGTTGCATTCTTACTAAATGGCCAAACCACTTCATTCTCTGTCTTTCAATATGTTTCATGCATGCTCTTGTTCCAACTTTGTCTCTAATGCTGACGTTTGTGACTCTGTCTCTTCGTGTATTGTTGGTGACTCTTCGGAGACATCGCTTTCACACGTAGTTATTTTTTGCATATGTGATTTGTTCATTGTCCACGTTTGGCACTGATAACATAACGTAGGGATGAAAATGCTGTTGATCATCCGTTGTTTGGCTGGTAACGAGATCTTTGGATGACGAAGAAGTGGGGCCAGTTGGTAGTTGACTGCATTGGCTTTTTGAACTCTAGCCTGTATCTCTTTATTGAGTCTTCCATCTTCTGTAAATATGGGGGGGGGGGTTGGGGTGGTGGGGGGGTTGGTGGGTGGGCGGGCGCGCGCGCGCAAATTAATTCTCATTGGCTGTAATAATTTTCATTTGTAATAATGTTCGTGCACTTGTCACATTTCTTATTGTGTATAATCATGAGTGTTTTATAATTCTCTGTGTATTACTGTCGTAGCCACAGTTTGCATTCTGTAATTATTTTGTTTAAAACTATTTATGGGTAACTTTTCTATTTATATGTCTGTTATTCTGTGTATACATTTTGTAATATAATGCTTTATATACCACTGTGCTGGCCACATTTATCTGTTTCCATTATGATGTGTAAATGAGAAAAAAAATTTTTGTTTGTTACTAATCCTGTTGGCCTGTCAGACATACATATTTATTGGCTGATATTTTTGAAAATTGTATTTATTAATTTGTTTCAGTCACCATTTCGTGCACGGAAAGAAAAAGTTAAAAGGGAAGAGGTGGACAGAAGAGTGAAGGAAGAACAGGAAGTTTACTCTTCCAAGTTTAGTGAGGAGTGCAGGAGTATTTGTACAGATGTGAGTGTTAATTTGTACACATTTTAACCATTTGTCACAGTGGGTACATTTTAAAAAGGGGATAGAAGAAGAAGAGAAGATATAGAAGTAGAGAGAGAGACAGACGAGAAGAAATAATAGTTAAAGGATGTATAAGAGGACAATAGGTTCTCCTGTGTGGAGAGTGTAGTAATAAGTCTACACCCCAAACGATCAGGTAATAGTCAGTGGAGGTCTTATGAAGGAGAGAGTAGATATATAGTAAAGTGGTGGTGGTATGAAGACTACAGGGACTAACAATAATAGTACCACTCCTACACTCAATAAACTAACGACTTAATAAAAGAATAACAACTAATAATCATGTTTATTAAGAAACAGCATTACAAAGTCGTCTATTTCATGTTACACAACCAACAGATGTTATATTATGTTATAAACAGAACGTCCTCACACTATAAAACTCAGCAACTGACAGCAGAATCCACTCTACTCAACGATAAACTAGCAAGTGACATCTAGAATCTCCTTCATTGCTCTACAAATAATAAGCCAAATAACGCCTATAATCTAGCCATCTGCTCTGTTTCCAAATCCCGACTACTATCTAACCATACTGCTGATTGCAGTCCAAAGACCAGCAAACCTATAGCCAAATACCGACTACCATCTAGCCATACTGCTGATTGCAGTCTAGATACCATCTACCTATAGCCAAATACCAACTACCATCTGATATAGCTGACTGCAGTCCAAAGACCAGCTAACCGATATAGCCAACCCGGCACACCATGACAGAAACTGCCATGTCACCTGTTAAATATATTCAAACAATCTATAAGTTGACATTGCCAAGCATATAAACGTGAACGCAACAACATACATCTTATTCTACCCTGCAAACAACTGCCCTTCTTCATACGAATAGTTCTCCTTTCAAACAGGCATTCTTATACCCTTGAATAAACCTCCATCCACTAACTCACATGTACTTCTTATTCAAAGCATATTACTATGTATAACTATACATGCACTATTTACTTTTACCACATGAATACCCATGCACTTCCTCTTCAACAACAACAGTCTGGCTACAGACATGGCCTTGCATCCCCCACTCACTTCAACATCTGATACTTCTGTCCCGCCCCTTTACAGGTAAATTCTATTATATCCATGTGCTCCCTTCTCAGCAGCTTGCCGAGGACAGTTCAAGCTAAATGACTTTCACTTTCACATATCTTCCTATTTCATCCTCTCTTCAAATCACATCTAAATGTTAACAGCATTATAACTGCATCATGTTAATACATATGGCGTTATCCTTCCCTAGCAGCGCTAACTCTGCTGTTCAGTATGATACTTCACACGTCATGCTTATCTGTTATCATGACCATCACCATCATGTGCTGTGCCGGTCATCAAGTGGTCATTATATCTTCTAACAGAAGCCTATATTCCTCATGACAACCATGACACACATAACTATACATACATAATTATACATCTTATGACATCAGTGCCCGCTGCTTTCCTCCTGTATCACAATCAAAACATCGCAGACACAGTCTGGCCGTTAGAAAGGGTCATTCTAGGGCCAGCCTGTTTATTTACCAAACCACTCTCTCTCTACCTGTGAAATCCGATATTGGGCTTCTGACCTAAAAGAGGGCAGCCTCCGTATGGTATGCTGCATGCTCAGAACGTTTCTCGTTGTTGTTTGACTTTCCTTTTCTCCATTGTTCCAAGAAGATGACTGCTCCCAGAAATCATTATAACATATATTTGGATACTCATATGTTGCATTAATACACTTGGATCTGTCAACATGGCATCTGCTATGACTCAGGTGTCCAGTTAGACGACTCGCAAGATCCAGTTAACACAAATCAGAGCAATCATCATCATGTGTCCTACCAATAACCCAACATGATCTTATCTTGTCTAATTACTTAACATGAACACAGTACTACTTATATAACATGAAGCAATATTTCGTACATTATCTGGCAAGTCACACAACAAAAGTATAGACTCAGCTTCATCGTATCGACATCATCGGAATGCCCACAGCATCCTTCGTTGGCAGAGATCTCAGCGCAAGTGTCTCTGTCAGGGCTTCCTCACAGTGTATATACCCCTGATGCTACCTCTCTCCTTTGTACCTGAGTTCATGAAACTGTGTCTTCTTAGGTTCATTAACCTTTCCCTTTCCCGCCAAAGATGGTTTTTCAAGCCACTTTGCATAATTGGATGGAAAAACCCCAGGAAATCTTGTGTCGCTGCCTTTGTTCGTTGTCCTGCCTCTGTTAATTTACGAGTATATTGGCCTACAATAGTTCCTGGACTGGACTGGCTTGGCATGCAACCACATCTTTGTCGACTCTTGAGTCAATGCCCTCAAGGTTGTTATACTATGTAGCGACCTTATTCTCAAGCAACTCTATACCTTCTTATTCCTCTGTGCTTCTTTCCTTCTATTTCCTTCTTGTAATATTCGTGACTGTAATCAGTACTGTCACACATTGCTGAAAAAAGATAGTTATGAACAATAATATTCTTAGTCCTCCCTGTCTACATGTGAATAATAATATTTGCTAGTGCCCCTGTCTACATGTGAATAGTAATTTTACATAGTTTCCTTGTCTTCTTGTGCATAATAATAATTAGTGGTCTCCTTGGATGTTGAATTAAGAATCAACATCATAGCACTTATGACACCCCCATTAGCTCTCCCTCCCCATCTTCAGCAGCACACAAAGAGTTCCAATTCTGATGGCACCAGTAACTATCTGATTGTTTATCCGTCTCACCCTTTCCTTTTTCAGCTTCGGCCAGATTCCCTGGTAACTACTCACAGCGCCATTCTCCTCAGACGGTATTGATCTATTCGTGATTTTGCATGGTTAACTCACTCCAAGAGTGAAGGCCTTCACAACCTCTAGCTTCTCATACATCAGTTTACCATCAAGTGGTGCAGAACTGGCCACTCTCATTTCCCAAGACACCAGGCATGACCTGAAGAGAATATCCAAAGAATACTAACTACCCGGGACCTCTGAAGTAATGCTTGCCACTCTGCACGGAGCATACCTGTCCCCACCTTTCTCAACATGCTCTGAGTCAGTGACAATCATGGCATGTGTGTACAGCTGATTCTCAAGCCAGCGAAAGGCAGGAGTAACTGCCTATACCTCCATTCTCAAACTAGACGTTGTGATATCAAATGCCAGGCTTTGTTGCACTAAGCCACGTCCTTTCACTTTTGCTATGAACCCACATGCAATTCATCTGCCCCTCAACACAGAACCATCTGAATAATTACATTACTGGGGTGGGAATTGTCATGAATCATTTGTTGAACTTCTGATTCTGCAGCGCCAGTCCCTGCACTCACGACCCAAAGTGATAAGAACACTGCACGTCTGACATATAGGTTATATAGTAGTCTCCTGTCTACATGTGAATAATATTTAGTAGGTCCCCTGTCTACATGTGAATAATATTTACTAGGTCCCCTGTCTACATGTGAATAATATTTACTAGGTCTCCTGTCTACATGTGAATAATATTTAGTAGGTCCCCTGTCTACATGTGAATAATATTTACTAGGTCCCCTGTCTACATGTGAATAATATTTACTAGGTCCCCTGTCTACATGTGAATAATATTTAGTAGGTCCCCTGTCTACATGTGAATAATACTAGGTCCCCTGTCTACATGTAGCTAGGTCCCCTGTCTACATGTGAAAAATATTTACTAGGTCCCCTGTCTACATGTGAATAATATTTAGTAGCTTCCCTGTCTACATGTGAAAAATATTTACTAGGTCCCCTGTCTACATGTGAATAATATTTACTAGGTAGTCTACATGTGAATAATATTTACTAGGTCCCCTGTCTACATGTGAATAATATTTACTAGGTCCCCTGTCTACACGGGAATAATATTTAGTAGGTCCCCTGTCTACATGTGAATAATATTTAGTAGGTCCCCTGTCTACATGTGAATAATATTTAGTAGGTCCCCTGTCTACATGTGAATAATATTTAGTAGGTCCCCTGTCTACATGTGAATAATATTTAGTAGGTCCCCTGTCTACATGTGAATAATATTTAGTAGGTCTCCTGTCTACATGTGAATAATATTTAGTAGGTCCCCTGACTGTGGGCTCCATTTTGGAGAATAAAGTATAGACCCACACCAAAAGGTATGTCATAGGAGGCAACCAATTAAGGGATTTTCCTTCATAGTCAGAGTGCATCTGCCAGAAGGCAAGGAACCAACAGTCTGCATACAAAAAAACCATATCTGTAAAATTGATGTCCTGAAAACTGCTATGGATCACGACCAAAGTCCAGGAGTAGACAAATAACCAGAAGTTTCGGCAGGAGTTTACAGGCAATGAACGCTAAAAAAGAAGAAAATACTGAATGAGACTAGAAGTTGTGAATAATGTCTTATCATTTTCCCTTCTTCACCACTGTATTTACAGCTTCTACAGAAATCCCCATCGAGTAGGCTTGGCTGTGGTCCAGAAGGTGGGGAGGAAGTAAAATCTCATAACTTTTTCAGGAATATAAACTTTAAGAGGTTAGAAGCTGGAATGGTAGATCCTCCTTTTGTACCTGATGTAAGTATCTAGGAAAATATGGTGTGGTCGTTGAGTTTTTTTTTCCCAATCATCATCATTGTTAATTTCCACTTTTTGCCTCAAAGCTTTGAAGAGGAACAGTTTGTGATTCATTGTTTGACAGGCAGCACTAGCTATTGTCATTTTTTTTTTTTTTCATTGTTTTCAGCAAATACTGTACATGTCTTCTCAGTGGAGCATAATGAATGCACAAAACTAACAATTTGCAGACATTTTCACGATTGGCTAATTTTGCTTAAAGGGTTTTTATAGAAAAGGGTCAACCCTTCTCTGTCATAGTGAATGGTATATATTTACTATATTTTTTGCTTCCTTCATGGATCACTGTAGCACACAATTAGTTAACGTGTGCTATGTAATTGTGAAGTTAAAAAAAAAAAAAGACAACAGCTGCCATTTATGCCAGTATTGAGCACTTTTGCAATGTAAACAACAAGCTCTTTGAGCCTGAAGATTTAGGGCCCCATGACTAGTGCTGTTGCCATGGACTATGCAGGTTAGGATTGGCTGATTGTGAATTCTCTCTAGAATTAAAAAAAAAAAAAAAAAGCTTGATCTGTCTGTCTGAATGCTGTTGATGTAAAGACTTTTTTTTCCTGCTCAGTACTGAAGTACCATCTCCACAAGACCTTTGTATAGGGAAGTGTAAGGTCTGTGTTTACCCAGTTGTTGCTCATGGATAGTTAAACCTAATAATTGTGTATAATCCTGTGTGCAGTGAGAGAACATGTTACTCATTGCCTCTTCAGGTTGTGGTCAATCATTCAGGCAACTGAGCTATGTTTTCCTTGCCTCTGAAACTGTAAAACATTTGACAAGAAAGTGGCTGCTTATTTTATATGTGAGCATCGAGGAGAGTTGAGTTAATTCAAGAACCAACATCAAAACACTCTGTGCATTCCCATAAGCGCTCCGTCCCCATCTTCAACAGCCAGTGAAGAGTTCCGATACTAATGGTGCCAGTAGCATTCTGATTAAATGTTTGTCTTGCCTTTCCTCTGAGCCTCGTCGAGCATCTGCCAGAACCTCTTGTCACCCCCCCCCCCCCCCCCCTGCATCAGTCTCATAAAACTGTGGTGATTCATCTGCTCCTCCAAAGTGTATCAACTCTCCCACAAGGCACTAACCACGTCTGCCTTATCATGCATCAGTATTCCACCAAGTTGTGCAGAGGCAGCCAGTCTGTCCGCCTGTTCATTTCCCAACACTCTGGCGTATCGCAGTGAAAAAAATCCAGACAATACTCATCACCCGTGTTGTGGAGAATTGGCTCACAAACAGCAAACTGTCCCAAAAGCTGAAGTATTTTGGCCATGTTAAACGTCCCAAAAGCTGGAGTATTTTGGCCATGTTAAACGTCCCAAAAGCTGGAGTATTTTGGCCATGTTAAACGTCCCAAAAGCTGGAGTATTTTGGCCATGTTAAACGTCCCAAAAGCTGGAGTATTTTGGCCATGTTAAACGTCCCAAAAGCTGGAGTATTTTGGCCATGTTAAACGTCCCAAAAGCTGGAGTATTTTGGCTATGTTAAACGTCCCAAAAGCTGGAGTATTTTGGCCATGTTAAACTCTCCCACAAGGCACTAACCACGTCTGCCTTATCATGCATCAGTATTCCACCAAGTTGTGCAGAGGCAGCCAGTCTGTCCGCCTGTTCATTTCCCAACACTCTGGCGTATCGCAGTGAAAAAAAATCCAGACAATACTCATCACCCGTGTTGTGGAGAATTGGCTCACAAACAGCAAACTGTCCCAAAAGCTGAAGTATTTTGGCCATGTTAAACGTCCCAAAAGCTGGAGTATTTTGGCCATGTTAAACGTCCCAAAAGCTGGAGTATTTTGGCCATGTTAAACGTCCCAAAAGCTGGAGTATTTTGGCCATGTTAAACGTCCCAAAAGCTGGAGTATTTTGCCCATGTTAAACGTCCCAAAAGCTGGAGTATTTTGGCCATGTTAAACGTCCCAAAAGCTGGAGTATTTTGGCTATGTTAAACGTCCCAAAAGCTGGAGTATTTTGGCCATGTTAAACGTCCCAAAAGCTGGAGTATTTTGGCCATGTTAAACATCATGGTGGCCTGGAGAGATCAGTGATGGAGCGTACAGTTCCCAGAAAACAAGATAACGGTGCAGACCTCCCTGAAGGTGAATACAGGACATTGAAGAAGCCTTGGCAATGAAAGCACATAGTGCTAAAGAATTGGCTAGAGGAAGAGACTTTCAGGTGTGCTATGATAAAAGCTTCATTATGTGAAGGACCTGCTGATTGATGAGGATAAAAGCATTGTTTACATAATTATACTCAATATAAAGCTCAATGTGATTTACTTTTGCATTGCCGTAGCTGCAGATTGAGATTTACCACATGGTATTGTTAATGGACTTTTGCTTATTAATTTTCTTTCTTTGCCACCAGCCAAGAGCTGTCTATTGCAAGGACGTCTTGGACATTGAGCAGTTCTCAACAGTGAAAGGTGTCAACCTGGATGCTAGTGATGATTCATTTTACAGTAAATTCAACACAGGCAGCGTATCCATACCCTGGCAGAACGAGGTGTGTAGTGTTTGTTTGTTGTCATTTAACTTAGTCCATCTTTGGTCAATCTTTGTTGTGAAGATGGCACCTGATCTCCTCTGATTGCTGAGGAGCTTCTGTAGAGCAGTGGTCAGCACCTGTGGACTTCAACTGGAATACCCCCACAGAAGCAGTTTTTTTCTTCTTCCTCAGAGTTGTTTTCTGTTTTTAAAATCTCCGGCAGAACAGAAAGTTCTGGTTGTTCACGCATTTTTTGACGTTAGTTCTGTTCCAGAACTTGAGTTTTGCATGCACATCTGGAGGAAACACCTCTAATTAGTCACCTCCTACAACATGCCGTGGGTCTTCCCCCCTCCCCAAAGCCCCTAACAAGCATGTTGTAAACTTGACTAATTAGGATTGTATCCAATGAAGTCAGAGTGCATCTGCCTGAGAGGCAAGGAACAATCTGCATACAGATATCAGATCAGTAAAACGGATGTGCATTCAACACTCAATTTCTGAAATAAAAGTTGATGAAAATAAGAACCTTTTTAGCCGGAGTTTACAGCCAGTGAACATGAAAAAGAATTATGAACCCAGTACACCTCAAGGTATGGACTTGTTTATGTTACTTATATATAAAAGGTAGAGCAAGAACAGGATGGACATAACATCGTGGAAATTTTGCAAAGCACAATGTTTCTATTATTTAGGCGGCCAGAAGAACAGAAGCAGAACCTCTTATCTTCATCATCTGAAGGGGTAAAAAGGAAAGCGAAGGAGGAGAAGAATACGTTACATAAAAATTGTTTGTGCCTATAATGTTGTTAGTATTTCACGTTGTGCTGCCATTATTTCACTTAATTAACTTTATAGAGTGATTTTAGGTAAGTCACATGTATTTAATTGTGTCTAACAACTTTAGATGCTGGAAACCGAGTGTTACAAGGAGCTAAATGTATTTGGGCCCAATGGCGGACCTTCACCTGACCTCATTGAAGGCTTGCCCCCACAGCCACCTCAGAGAAGCTTCTTTGATAAGCTGTTTAGGAGACGACCGGTATGCTATTTTGATGTGTAATTTTAAATCTGTTGTCTTAAACCTCTTTTATAGTTATGTATATCTCTTCAGTTCTGGCTCCAATATTTCATTTGAGTACTCCTACATAAACGTCTAGTTATAGTAATTGTTACAGATACTCAAAGGTTTCCCGACAGATGATGGGTTTATATGCACAAGCTGACGATGCACAAGCACAGAAAAACCAGTAAACATGTATAAACTCGACATATGTTGGTCTTTATCTTACTTAGTTCATTTGTTTCCAAAGCGAGGCATACATGCCATTTGGAGGTGATAGATTTGATTCCCGACACGGTTAACTATAGCTTTTGATTTGTATGTTGCCTAATGTGTTCTTCTTCTTTTTTGCTTCTTTCTGTGAGTGCCGATCAATACACTGTATGTTTATTATATGTAATATGTATTCTAATACTACTAAATATAGTCTATTATCTGATCATCAATAAAATACTGCTACTACAGCAGCTGTTAAATATATAGTAACAAGCGTCACAAATACTTTAACTTTTGGACGCTGTTCTTTAAGTTTCCTCACAGTTTAATACAAACATGACTACAGGACATACAACCCCTTTCTTATAAAACGTCATTACAGTGATGATTGTGAAAAATGTATTTCTGGAGATCCATTGCAGCCAACCTTCATTGTGGAGACGGCACATGATTGATTGATTGATTGAACCTTTAAACAAATAAGACACAAGCATTAGTATTCTTGTTTACTCAGATAATGCCTGTTTTATGTAGTGTGTTTTTTTTTTTTTTTTTGAATGCTATAATAATAGTGTTGCATTTCTGTTTCAGCATGTTGATCATTGAGTCTTAACAGTTTGGAGAGTGGTCGACTTGGCCTGTTCGGTGACACCAGTCCATTTGTTGAATATTTTTACGCTTGCCAATCTTGTGTTACTAGGACTACAACTAAAAATATAACAACTGCTGTGTATACGGAACAATACTAGAAAACCATGAACTCTTCACTGAGACATCAGAAGGTACCGTGTAACCTAGCCGTTTCACAAGCATGTTAGCCACAGAACAAAGATCGTTGCAACTTGGTTTCCCTGTTAGCCAGACAAGTTGCTTTTCTCTCAGGGATTGGCAGGAGAGCATAGTCCAGACAAGCTGTGGATTGGTTATTATTGTTAATAGCTCAAAACCATTCATTTTTTTTTTTGGGCATTGTCAGAGCTGTACTATCTGATTGTGCTTTTCTGGTTATTGGATCTGTTGTTGAAATAGGTCTGCTAGCAGATTAGTTTTTGAAGAATAGTATTGTATTATTATCAATACATGCCCGAGAATATATTAAGATATATTTGAGTATTGCTCAGAAAGTAGTGCTCTACAACAAGTTTACCTCGGAAGAACCCAGATGAATGAAATTCATCCAGCATAACTTGATATTACATTTAACACCTGCTGTTGGGGGCTGGATTGTCTGTTTCTGCTTCTTCCAGCACTTGCCTTGTGGTGTTGGTTAGCAAGCTGTCGACAGCCTTCCCTTGGGTGTGCTATCAGTCATTTCTGATAGAGATTTTCTGTCATGCTGTGATGCCAAACTATCCAGCATCTTTTCTTTGGGGTTTCCCTGCTTTCCACCCTTCAGGCATTTCCTTTGCTAGAGTTTTCTTTTCACATGCCCAAATAGTAATTTTACACTAACCAGCTGACTGTTTACTTATATTAATAATCTTGTGCCATCAAGAAACGAGGAGATGCAAGTCTTCCCTCCACAAGCTTAGTTTCTGTTCCTATATTCTCTTTTCTTATATTGGCTGCGTTAGATTATATTCAGTGGATCAGACCGATGACGTGGGATCTAAATACAGACAACAATAACCATAACAATCTCTTCTTATATCCTGTATTCTTAAACCCTGTATGTAATGTAATATCCTCTGTTCTTATATCCTCTCTACGCTTATTTTACATCCGCCTTCTGATATTCTAGAGCTCCAGTGACAGCCATCACACCTTCCACGCTTGATTGAAAGTAACATTTGTTGTCTTCTGGGCATCGTAAAATTCCAGATAGGGGCATTTTGAAGCGAAAGAAGTTGAAATAAAATGTCATAAGGAGGAGTTAACATGCTTCCTTTAGTGATAAAAGAAAGCAATAGGAATTAACTCGCAGGGAGCAAGTACAGCAGGGATCTACCAGTCATCAGTAGAAGTTATCCTCATCGTCAAGTGTATCGGCCCACGATTTCTCCTAGACACTTTCGGAGGTGGGCTCACCTGAGTTCATGAAGCTCAGGGCTGGTACCCTGCTGCACGAAATTACCGGATGGTGTTTTTCTTTCGGATAGGGACAAGACGACTTGGTGATTTGCTGAAGGTACTGTGAGATAAGAAGTCGTCGCGGCAGCCTAATTAGAACAGTCAGCATACCTGGACGACCGAGCGACAAGCTTACGTTTGGTTTACCGGACACATGTTGGACTTTTGTTAGCAGGTGGCAGAGGAACACTGGCAGACAATTCGGGCACGATGGACTTTCAAAGGGTGAGAAACCCTTTTCCACTAGAAACCTGGACCAGCTCACCGAGGCCCGTCCCCTACGTTTCGTTGCTTCCAAAGCCAACTCGAGGCCCTTTCGGCTGCCTCGCCCAGCCGTTTGAGTGTTCGTTTCAGTTCATTACCGCGCAATCCTAGTTCTTTAACCACATTGTAGAGCGAAGTGAAAACGAGGCCTCTCGCTCCCACTTCGACGGCAAAGACTCATACTGTGTACACCTCGTTTCTCCTCAGACCGGCTGCTAAGTCACAATATTTCTCGAGCTTATATGTGTGACTCTCGTCCATACGCGACTCATACGGGACGGTCAACTCAATCAGGATGAGCTGCCGTTTCTCCGCAGAGTGGAGAACTATGTCAGTTTGCAGGCCGGTCTTCCGGATTAACTCGGGGTACCTTTCATGGCCCGGCAGATCAACCGCCAGTAACCAGTCCCTCGCAGAGTCTAGCACAGATGGAGCGAATGCGTTTTGGTTGACCTTACCTTTTGGAATCTGCCCAGCCTTGAGGAAATGTATGGGGACGATGGTAGAACTGGCTCTAGCGTTAGCCCTCATTCTAGCCTGGTCAACAACGGCTGCTAACTCTTTTAGCACCTTGTTGTGTCTCCAGGTATATCGGCCTTGGCCTAGGGCTTTCCTGCACGCGGACAGGACGTGCTCAAGAGTCAATGTGGAGCATTACTTTCTGAACAGCCCTGATATTATTCCTTCAGACTGAACCAGGTTGTTTAAACTGATTAAAGCTGTGAAATGGGATAAGATACTGTGACTAGCTAAAACAGCAGATACTGGTAGGATGTCTTGTCACAGTCTGCTTTTTTTTTCCCCCTCAGTCACCTGAAATATATAATGAATCGTGATAATGTCACCTTGTCTGCTTTGTGGTGGAAGCATTTCAGTATTATTTTCAGACTAAGTCAGACTGTTGAGAATAATTGTAATAATTATTCTACTGAGCAGCATGAAGTTTCATTCTGTGCCAATGAAAGTGTCTATCATATATTTCCATACACATGTGTTGCATAATTTTAGTAGATGGAATAGAGTCAGTTGTCTGTGGCTTAGGCGTTGCGATCATGCTTCATAACGCTGAGGTGCCAGGTTTGATTCCAGCTGCAGGTGGTTTGGCAGAAGACCGTCTTGCTTTGGTTTCGATAGTGGTTGTGAGAGCCGACATTTCAGTGCCAATGGCAAAACTAATTAATGTAAAATTGCCTAATATCACTTATTTTTTTCCTTTGATTTTTGTTTTGCAAAAAAAAATCCTTTTTTAGGACAAGCAACAAACTTTTTTTTTTTAAACAACAGTTTGCCTGTTGATCTGACAGTCCTTATTTCAAGTCTTCTTCGGGGGCAGGAATTATGTTGTGGCTTAGCCTCGCAAAATTGTCAGTGAGGTCTAAAGTTGAGAGGAGCGCCTACATTGCATCGGGTTTGATCCCATATGGCTTGGTCTGTCTCTGCAGGATTGCCTGCTGCTGAGAGGGTTGTACAAGGCATGAACTCCAACGCCGATCAAGAGATCATTGTAAACAATTACACTCATGAACCATTTAGTGCAGCCGGTGAATTGAAGAATCAATGCAAATGGCTTCACCACTTAGCCACAGTGACTGTAAGATGAGGGAATCCTGTAGGACTGATCACATTATTAATTGAGCTTCACGGTCATGGAGAGAGCTGACATGGTATAGTGGCTAGATGCTTGCTTGCGGTTCCGAAGGTCGTGGGTTCGGGTCTTGATTGGAGCCGGCTTTTGAAAAGAAAATGACCTTGGCTCTCCGCTCAACCTAGCTATGAGTGGGTACCAGGTATAATCCTGGAAAGTAAAGGTGGCTGGCATTATGCTGACCACATCACCCACACAATGCCAGTTGGTCTATAAAATATAAGTCTGTGTGTCCAAAATGCCGGACGGAGTGGGGAAGGGTACAATGCATTGTCATGAAATAACAGACCTAGAAGATTGGTTATACCTCATGACGGCATGGAAATAGGCAGGTCTTTACCCCTTTTCCTCTGTGTCTACCCAATTAAATTGGGGGGGGGGGGGGGCGCAGAAAAGAGACTTCTCTGTCACCTTGGTATTTTCCTGGGCCAGCTGCCTTTTGAGAAATGTTTGTTCTAAGCACAGAGTACATTGGTGACCGGCTTGGGACAGTATTTGGGTCTATCTCCTTTTGATCGCATCAAGACGACAGGAACCCTTTTCAGAGATGTTAGTGCAGTGCTGAGCCATTTTATATGGCGCACATAAACTACTCACAGTTATAACCTAAAGCTCCACCTTTGCGGATGCTGGTTAAACATAACATATTCCCCCCCCCCCCCCCCCCCCCCCCCCCCCCCCCCCCCCCCCCCCAGCCCCAGCAAAGCACCTACCTACCTAAGCACAGAGTATGGTAGGTTGATGTGAAAGAATATCTGCATGGTTAAAAAATTGTAATCAAAATACATTTTTATATTATAGTTATAAATCTAATTATAATAAAGTTTCACAATCCTTAGCAGAGCAGGGTTTGACTTCCTTGGCAGATATTTTATGTTTTAAATTGTTTGAGTTGTATTTGCATAGTGGTAGAAGAGTCACAGCATGGTAGAAATTGGGACTTCTTACATAATATTCCCAACTCAATCAGAGGGTGCACCTCGGCCAACTTTCATTGAGGAGATGGCACACCATGTTTAAAAGAAGTAATGAATTGTTTAATAATTCATAGTGTGCCACCTTAATTTGAATATCTGACTGGGTAATGCTTGAGGCCAATGACATATAAGTAAAATTAAATGTTAATAATCACTTGTAGAAGCAGGACATCTGTACTTTTGTTTGCTTCTATGAGTACCGGTCATGAACTATTCAAAAAAAAAAAAAGCTTTTTGAGTCAAAGATTTTACTGTTTTTTAAAATTACCTAATTTTAAATATGTTAGTATTTTTAAAAAAAATATCTTTTCAATTTAATGTGGGCAACAGAACCAGTTTTAGTGATAAAAGGATATTAGCTCACACTTGTTGGTAGGAAGTCTACTGTTTCTTTTACCAGGCTGTTTTAACATGGTGGTCTTAATCTTTTGGTGGCATTGTTCCTTGGTTAGTTAATATAATTCCCATATGATGTTGACAGTAGAACCTGTCAGTTCTGTTGTCTGATTTCTGTATCCTTAACTTCATGTTTGTGCAGTATGTTTAAGGTTGCACAGTCACAGCCATTTCTTGAGACAGTCACAGAGTTTTTGTTCCCAACATAGTAGAATTCTGTCCCTAACTCTTTTTGCCCCAGGCAGGTATTGCTT